CCTCGCACGTCTGCCGCAGCAGCTGCTCCCGGCTGCGCTCCAGCACGCCTGCACAACGGCACGCCTGTCAGCTGCCCCAAGCCCCCCGTGCCCGGGGAGCCTCGGGCACTCGGGGCTCGGCACAGCGGCTGCAGGCCCCGGCAGCCGCGGGGCAGGGCCGGGCCGGGCCGGGCCGGGCCAGCTCAGGAGCTGCCGGCAGGGCTCAGGGCAGGGCGGCACGCAGGGGCCGCCAGCACGGGGGGACAGTGCCTGGAGAAGGGAGAAACTGCTCCGGACAGCTCGGGCTGGGCTGGGAACAGGGACACAGGGACCCCCAGGGACAGCGAGCCACAGCCAGCGTGGCACTGACCCACGACAGCAGCCAGGCACTCGTTACCCAGCAGCAGGAGAGCGCTAATTGCCCACAGAACTGGGCGAGCTGCAGCAAACAGCACCAGGGCCTTTGCTTGATAAAACGTGTCACTGACACAGGGGTTTGGTTGTGCTGGATTTGTGGGTTTGCCACCCAGCAAAACTGAAATAAAGGCCTGTAAATCAACCAATTATCTCGACCCTGGGGGAAAGAATCTGTTTTGGGAAGGGAAAGGATGGCAGGTCCCCACCTGGCAGCCCCACCTTGGGGCGCAGCAGCACCTCCAGCGCCGCCCGGTCCGGCAGCTCCTTGCTGAGCTTGGCCTCCGCGGGGCCGTAGAGCCCGGCCAGCACCGAGGTGTCACCTGGGCACAGAGAGCACAGCTCACGGTGAGGAGGCCGCACCCGGGAACGGCAGCCCCCGGGACCCTGCGGGAAGGGTGGGAACGGGACTTGGCAAGGCGAGAAGGGGAGCCCCGGGACGTGCGGCAGGGGAGCTCCGCGAGGCACAGAAGGGGAGGCCTGGGACGGACAGCACTACAGACCCTGAGGGAAGGGCTGGGAAGGAATGAGGAGCCCCGGGAAGAGGAGCCGGGATGGGCTGGGAAGGAGAGTCTCGGAAGGAGAAGGCTGGGAAAAGGAGCCTCAGTAAGGAAGGATGCGGAGCCCCGTGAGCAGAGCCTCCCGGACCCTGCGGGAAGGGAAGGGAACCCCGGGGAGCGGAGCCGCACAGACCCTGCAGGAAGGCGGCCGAGCCGTCGGGCCGCGAGAGCAGCCCCAGCTCGCAGGAGAAGGGCCGCAGCCGGCACTGCCCGTCCGCCACCTCCAGCTCCACCGCCATCACCGCCGCCTCTCCGCTTCCGCCGCCGCTTCCGCTTCCGGGCCGCGCGACAGCCAATCCGCGCCGGGCTTCGCGATAGCCAATCCGCGCCGGGCTTCGCGACAGCAAATCAGAGCTGGGCTTCGCGACATCTAATCCGCGCCGGGCGCTGCAACAGCCAATCAGAGCCGGGCGTCGCTCTTGGCTGCGACCCTCGCGACACGGGACACGCTTGGGTGGATAAATGCACTTGGAAGAGCTGTGGCTGCTTGGGTGGATAAATGCACTTGGAATTGCCCCTGGATCCCACATCCCTCGTCTTGGCTCTCACACAGCGGGGTGACAGTCCCTTCCCCGAGCTGCGCTGAATCCCAGCTCCCAGCGAGGGCACAGCATGGACACAGAGCAGCACACGGCGCCCGGGGTGACTTTATCTGATGCTCAAACTTCCCCTCTTCAGCGTGCCAGGACCCCGAGAGCAGACAGTGACTTATATACGGGATCAGCTCTCAGGGGAGGATACAATCCTCAACAAATCAGGAGAACTGGGAAAAACAAGGCGGGGAATACAATGTATAAAGCAATAAAGAATTTCAAGGGAGGAAAACGGCTTCAGTGAACTAATAAAGTTTGAAGAAATATAAAACTGACAGGGAACATTCTCGAGGGGAGTCAGGCTCGGGGAGAAACTGGCATCTAATGAAAGAAGTGAGGAAAGTTCTGGGAGAAGGGCAGGCACAAAAGGAACAGCATAAGGAAACTACGAAATTAGAAATCAAGCAGTGAACATCCTAATAAAACAAAAACCACACCACAACAGTGACCCTTCCCTTTCCAGTGCCGGCACACGGGACGGGCTGAGGATCTGGGTGTGGATCCAGCTCCGGGGCTGAAGGACAGTGCAAACCTCCCAGCACTCTGCTGCTGCTCCTCCGTGCCCCTGGAGCCGCCTGGCAAAAATCCCCACCAAGCAGCTCCCAGCCTCGCCACGGCCAGCCCGCGCCTGCCCTTCCCCGGGCTCTGGAGCCACGATGTTTTATGAAAAATCCATTGCTAGCGTTTTTCTCCTATTCTAGCTGAGAGGCCTCAGAAAAGAAATGTAAACAATTCACTCTCTGATGGCTGTGGAATGTGCTCTGGGCATTGTTTACCAGCAGGGGCACCTGGGGTTGGTGCATGTTGGTTGTTTCTAATCAATAATCAATCAAAGGTGCAGCTGGCTCGGACTCTCTGGCAGTCAGGAGCCTTTGGTATCATTCCTCTCCTGTCCTTCCCAGCCTTCTGATGGATCCTTTCTCTCTATTCTTTTAGTACAGTTTTAGTGTAGCATTTTAATATAATATATATCATAATATAATAAATCAGCCTTCTGAAACACGGAGTCAAGATTCTCGTCTCTTCACTCGTCCTGGCACCCTCAAACACAACCATAGGTGTCAGTCCACATCCCAGCATCTGAGAGCTGCCCATAAACCCACACCCAAGGGAGACTGCTTCCAGGGACATCACCTCTGGCCCTTTGTGTTCTCCTGCCCTTCCAGGGGCTCCTGGGCAATTCCCAGGCCCCTGCTTGGAAAAGGCTGTGCCAGCTCAGCAGCCAGCACAGGAGCTGCCGGCAGGGCTCAGGGCAGGGCGGCACGCAGGGGCCGCCAGCACGGGGGGACAGTGCCTGGAGAAGGGAGAAACTGCTCCGGACAGCTCGGGCTGGGCTGGGAACAGGGCAGGGCAGGGATTTTCAGTGATTTCTCATCACTAAAATAGAGAGATGTCAACACCGGGCTGTTCTGAAAGGGGATGGGAAGTTCTTCTGGCGAAAGTCGACACAGGAATCTCTCTCACTTAGGATTCTCTTCCTCACGGCTTCCCGCAGGATCTTCCACGGCTGCAGGAGCCGGGCCAACGGCGAGCACGACGGAACGGCCCCCGGAGAAGGGGGACACTGTGTCACGGAAACGGCCTTTATTTCCTCCTTGGTCTCCTCCTTCTGACCCTCAGAGGGCAGCGCGATTTGCAGGCCCTCCTGCTCTGACAGCCGCCGAGCCTGGGCGCCGAGGGGCCGGGAGCCGCCGCGCGCTCCCGCGGCCCGGGCCGGGCCCGGCGCTGCTCGGGGCCGGCCGCGGCCGGGGGGCGGCCAGGACCCCCGCCTTCAGGCTGGCTGGGCCCGGCGGGGTCCGGAGCCGGGCCGAGGGTCCCGTCGGGCGAGGAGGGGCTGGCACTGCCCGCGGGGCTCTCGCCCTGGTCGCCCTGGTCGCCCTGGTCGCCCTGCTCGGCCTGCTCGGCCTGCTCGGCCTCGGGCTGCGGGCGCCGCCGCCGCCAGGCCTCCCTGCAGCCGTGCACGGTGACGTGGATGAGGCCGTGGATCAGCGGCGCCGTGTAGTCGCCCAGGTAGCTGCGCAGCATGTGGGTGAGCTCGGCGCGGTCGGGGCCGCAGATGCACAGCGTGGCCAGCGCGATGGTCTCCACCTGCCGCGCCTCCCACCACTGCGCGCCGTAGATGGCGTCCAGGCTGTTCCGCAGCCAGGGCCGCACGGGCTCCAGCAGCCGCTCGTGGCCCTGCAGCAGCTCTGCCCACAGCTCGGCCGGGAACTCCTCCTCGGCCTGCGGGCCAGCGGGCTCCGCCGGGCCCGGCGCGGTGTAGACCAGGCGGAAGCGGGCGCGGCGGGCCCAGGCGCGGGGCTCGGGCGGCGCTCCGGCCGGGCTCAGCAGGCACTGCAGGAAATCGTCGCGGTCCAGCACGGAGAAGCGGGCGCTGAGCACGGGGCTGGCGCACAGCGGGCACGTGGCGCTGGTGGCCGTGTGGCGCAGCAGGCAGCCCAGGCAGAAGCGGTGGCCGCAGGGCACGGCGGCCGTGTCGCTGTGCACGCTGCGGCACACCGGGCAGTTCCAGTCCGTCTGCGTGGCCTTGCTCACGCCCGGCGGGGCCGCGGGGAGGTACAGGGACAGGAGGCTCCCCATCGCTGGGCCTGCAGCTGGACCTGGGGATCCTGAAGGTCTCTTCCAGCCTTGGCGATTCTGTGGTTCTGAAGCGCTTCCAGGGCATGTCACGTGCTGCAGAATGGAGAGAGGCCGTGGGCACTGGCTGTCCTGGGCATGCAGGGGAGGAAGAAAGGCTCAGGCTCTGGAGGACTGCTCTGGAGGACCCTCCCTGCTGCCCCAGCCCCAGACACCCTGTGAACGTTCCCCACGGGGCTCACCTCCAGTGCTGCAAGCGCCACGGTGCCGGCTGCCCACGCCAGGCAGGGCTTGGGACATGGAGCGATGCTGCAGGACGCGCAGGCAGTTCCCAGTGGCAGCCCCCAGCCCACGGCCCCAGGACTCCCCAGGCCCCAGAGCCTCGCTTGGCAGCAGTCCAGGCTGGAGCCATGCTGGCCCTGCCACTGCCCATGTACAATCAGGGAGGGATGTGACATCACAACACAGCTCCCAGCGGTGTCACAGTCAGACACCTGGTTTGTCACCCTCCACCAGCAGGTGACATCACAACAGCACACTGGTCCCCACAGCATCAGGGGAAGATGGAAAATACTGCTTCTTGTGTTTAACTGTTGTGTTTCCATGCTGCTCTCAGCCACCTGCATCCATGTCTGTGTGTCCTGTCCCTAACCCTGGCTGAGGTCCCCTGTGAGGGACAGCCCTGAGCCCACCCCCAGTCACAGCTTCACATGGAGACAGGGCTGGGTGGCTCCACGGGGCTCCCCAAGGGCACCCAGAGCACTTTCAGCTCTCTGATCACACCCAGAAGCACAGGCACCCTTGCTCCTGGGGATGCTCCTAAATCGCAGAATCACAGAAAAAAGAGCTCTGCGCCCACCAAGTCCCAGCTATGACCTCACACCTCCCCATCAACTGAACCCTGGCACGAGTGCCACTCCCAGGCTTTGTTCAACCCCCCGGTGACGGTGACCCCACAGCCCCTGAGTGGCAGCCTCCCCACGTCTTGGATAAAAGCAATCTGAGCTAAGAACAAAGAGCCACCAGTATCACACCAGGCAGATCATAATGAACAGACAGCTGAGCACACCAGAAAATAAACACTGACCTTAGCTGAGTATTCCTGTGTATATTTGAAATATTTTAGATACCAGAACACTGTGCATGTAACTTTTTTCCCCCCAACCTGTTACAGTTTACCACAACACATGTACAGATGGCCTACACACAAAATTCCAAATCCCTGACATTCATCCCCTGTGTATTTATCATGTAAAGCTGTTATTCTACAGCCTACAAAATTCACTCATCCTGATGTCAAGGCCTGACTTAAGATATGATGCTCTTTATTATAAACAATTAACAACAGCAGAAGTGACCTAGCTCTCTACATACTAATTTTTGCCTTATGTATCAAAGTAAATTTTTCTGCATGAACTATTTGCTAATGGATTATCTCAGATTTAACTTTCTTTTTTTTAACACACTGCAAACTGGAATTTTGCTTCTTTTATCTGTGAAAGGCTTTCTGAGCTGCTGTGTGTTGCTGTTACTGGAAAAGGGTAGGATCATATTCACAGGAAAATGGATGTGTACAAAATGAACCAGCCTAACCTTCTGGAACTAAGGAACAAGGTTATCTTTGTGGATAAAAAAGCTGATGTTGCAAGAAGAAAGAAGAGGCAGAAAAGTTGGTAACAGACAAAGGGGTGTCAACCCCAGTAAAATGATGCTTACAGCTTCTAGCAATTGGATTAATAAAAAGATGTGTGCTTGCCTCATGGACAAAGTCAAGTTGCCAATCAAAGAATGCATGACTGTGTAGACCAAGACTAGAAGTCAATATAAACTGTGTTTAGAGGCACAATAAATGGCTTTTGCTTGATTCACACTGAATCATGCAGAGTCCTTGGGCATCAGAAAGCAATGAAGATCTAGTCAATATTGGCTGCTGGCTTTCCAAAACTCTTCTCATCAAATCCTCCAGCAAATATAATCAAAGCCCTAAGTCTACAGAGCACCTTAGTCACTACAGTGTGACCCAAGCTACCAGGGCAGATTTAATTGTGGCTGTGGTACTGGAAGCATCTTTGGGCATCACCTACATAACATTTGCCAGGAGAATGTTTCATGCTGAGGCAAAAACATAAACAGTAATGACCTTTTGGCTTATGAAATTTGTCAGTATGTTTCACCTGCAAAAACACTGCAAGATCAAGAGTTACCTTGATCCATCTTACCTTGGTTTCTCATTGGGTTTGCTAACATAGCAAGATAAGGCAGCAGCTCTGTCTGAAGGCACTCAGGTGGTAAACAGAAGCTTGAGAACAGAGATTTTGCAGCAATGCAATTGTCCTGATACTGTAAGAGGAGGGGGAAAACACAAGTGAAAAACCTGGTAAAACATTAGGAATGTGGACGTTCTGTACCACAACATGCAGACTTTCCTCCTGCCTGATACAGGAGCTAAGAGAAATGAGACCAGATAAAGAAAAGGCAAGCAGTTAACATACCAATCTTAAAAACTGTAGAATCTTTCAAATTTGCCTTTTACAGGGCATTAAAATTTAAAAAAAAATATTCCTTGATTACAGAATTCCCAGCCCATCGAGGTCAATGCTTTTTACCAACATATTATTTCAAATGTAAGAAAATGCCAAGCCCTGCTGTGTCACCTGAACAAGCTATTTCTGATAAACACATAAACCATAACAGCAGGCATTTCTTACCTTCATACAACAGTTCAGTGTGCTTCAAACTGCACAAAACCAGACTCAGTTCTAGAAACACTTAATAGTACTTAGTTGTGTCTCTATTAATTTAGGATTAAGACTCTCCCAGGAACATGCCAGCTTGGACAGAGGCATCAGACTTTGTCAGTGGCTTCCAATTTATTTTTACATTAAAGGAGTGATGCAAACTGCTCTTCTAGCAAGCGCTTTATAGAACCAGACTATATCAAAATAGGGTATTTGACAAGTTTAGCACTGTGATCAAATACATCTATACTACTCAATAGTCACACCTTAGGGGAGAAAGAATTAAGAAAAAACAAAATCAAGGATTTACCTTTTTATTGATCAAAAACCACTGGGGTTTGTGCAAGGGTCGGAAGCCCATGCCTCCCTGCTGGTGGGCAAAGGCTCTGGAGGTGTTGGAGTGGATCACCCCCCGGGTGGCCACAGAGGCACTGTAGCTCTCCATCACAAGCCGTGCCTGAGAGAGAAAAGGGGCCCTGGGTGAGCTCCAGGCAGCTCATTTGCACTGAGACACACACAGTGGCACAGCATGCACAGCTTTCTGAAGCTCACATTACTGCAAAACTTGTATCCAAAGCAGCTGAGAAAAGAAACAGCTTGATTCCTTCTTAGCAGAAACATATTCTGCTCAGAAATACTTTGCAGAGTATCCCAGAAACACTACAACCCATTGTAATGAAATGCTGACAGAAGCTGGACAAAACATTGGCTCTGCATCTCTTCTGCAGCTGCTGTACTTTAGCATTCATTAACAAGTCAAATCACTCACACCCTCAGTTTGTAGAAAACTCTCAGAAACACAGTAAAAAGTTGAAGGGCTCAATGTCAAAGTACTTAAAGACAAGTGTGTGCCTATACAAAGATGACACTTACACTCCAGTTACTGCAAAGGACATCAGCAGTGCTCAGATATTCACTGGCTCTCACTACATCATCTATGTCAGGAAAAAAGTCCACGTAGTTCTGGTGAAGGTACAGATTGAACATGCTTCCAGACATATGTGATTTCTCCACAATTTCCTGGTAGGAAGAAGAAGAGTTTGGGTTTTACAGGTGGATAAGGAAAAGGACCCTAGTATGAAAAGCTGGGGTACTTCCAGGCCAGGGAGCTGGAACACAAGGCCTGTGCAGTGATGCCCACACACAAGGGGCTGGTTTGCCCCAGTGGTCCCTCCCAGATGAGTGATTCCCTCACTCACACTGAAGGCACACCAAGGAGGCCAGAACAAACCCCACGTGCTGAGGGCCCAGCTGCACCCGTGGGGGCACTGCAGGAGTACCTCAGGCTGGATGAGCAGCGTGTCCCGGCGGTGTCTGCACAGGTGAGCAGGCAGCTGAGGGCACTCTGCTTCTGGCACTGCTTCTCCTGAAAACGAGTGCACAGCCTTTATGTTCACAAATGTCAGCAACTGTCAGCTCCACCAGCAGCTAAATTACAGCCTTTTCCATTCCCAGAAAGCTCTGGGACAGGCACAGGTACCTAATTATTACAGTCAATATTACACAGTCAGCAACACACAATTAGTTGCATTAAGCTTCATATGGCACATCTAACAAAATAATTTTTGTATTCCCTCACCTCAGTACTTCTCCTCATTTGGTTTTGGAGCCAGTACTGGGATTACTACCAAAATGTGCACAGCCAGTGGCATTAGGGACCCTGATGTAGCTGATGTTATGCTCTTGTGACTGACCAGACAGAGCCCATCCAAGGCCTCACTTTAGCAACTCCAGCTAGTAGCAGCTGACATGCTTTGCCCACTGAAAGGGAGAATAAGTCAAAGTTTTCTTACTTTTGCAATAAATAATTTTCCCCAGAGCATGGAAAAGAAAAATGGATGCATCCTTGCCACCAATTGCTTGTATCTCCTGGTCTTCTGAGGTATCACATTTACTTTTCTTTCGTACTTTGGATACTCCTGCTTCCTCACATTTTACTGTGGAGCTCTTCTTCTTCTTCGACCAAAATTCTTTCTCCAATGAGCAGCCTACTTAATAAAATAAAAAATAAAATCAAGACAGAGTACAGGATTCTGCAGAAGTTTTCTATTATGCTACTGCTGATTCTATTTCTACTATGCTGTGCTGTGTGAACAACCAGTACTAATAAAAGGAACAGAACAGGACATATAAATGGGAGCACTATGAGAAAACTCATTTATTAGGAGCACAAATCAGGTACCTAAATTACATCATTCATTACCTTCATTCCACTTCTGCCCCTTAAGCCACAGCTGAGGTACCAAGTACTTTCCTGAACAATAAACAGCTGTCTTTGAAAAAAGCTTTCAGGCTTATCTCCCTTGTAGTTCTGACACATTCTCCACTTGACCAGGTTTAAATTTCATGTTTATGAAGAACAAGTACAAATATTTGTAAATTATATTTCAGTTATATACTGTTATTTCAGTTACATCCTGTTTACTTATCAATTTTGTCTTCTACTGGCATTATCTGTACAAAACCTCCCTCCCTGAAATATAAAGTGGCAAAGAAATGTTTCATTTAGGTGATTCTTCCAACTGCCTACTATCTTCCACAAAGTTCTGAGCTTCATGAAATAAAACCCTTATTCTACTCTATATTAATAAACTTGAAATTTTTCACCCACAATTTCATTTCGTGGCATTTGAATGTTCCTTACTGAGGTAAGATAAATTATCCTTTAGGTATTTATTTTTCTTTTCTCCCACAATTACCATGGATCTATTTTACCCATTAATAGTGTTACGAAATGAATGTATCCATGATGTGACAGACACACACATGAAGAAACACACTTTACATACATAAAAACAAAAGCTGCATGCTCAGGAGACCAGCAAGGAGATGGGGAATCTCCCAGACTTGCAGAGTATCACCCACCTCACTGAAACACCTGCACAGCTACAGAGAATCTGTTCAAACGCTTCTCAATGTTTGGGAAAATGTGAGAGGAGAATGCTCAGTGTGCTGTGACTCCAATAGTCCACACACCAAAGCTCTGCCTTTGTTTTCTGCCCAGCTCTAACTATCACAGTTTTACATTTCTAAGGTAACTTATTAAAAGCTACACACACTGGTTATTTTAACATTACTTAGATTTTGTGGAGGATGTGTCCAGCAGTGAGATGCTGCATGCTTTTCTCAGATATCACCAATCTGATATTCACTCATACTAATGGCATAATCACCCCACTGAGAGCAATCCTCTGTTTTTCTGATTCACACAGAACAATCCAAGCCTGGTACACCTGCAGACTTCATCAGAATAACTGACCTTCAACATCTGCAAGTAAAATGTAGAAACTTTACTCTCTGTCTTGTGTAATATAACTAACACTGCCCAGCTAATTTCAATATACTCTAAAACTCAAAGTAAACACTCCCTCTTAAAAAATGGGCTTGAAACTACCTTTAACCTTGTATTCCATGAGCACATTTGCTGCTTGCAAAGCAAATGGGAGGGACAAAAAGGGACAAAAAGTGTGACTAACAACACCATTGTTACTCTACCACATACAGCAGAAGAGAATTGCTGAGTCTGTTTCCTTAGGCCTAAGTTTAATGTGAATGGTGTCACCACTTCACAGTCCTGAGAATGAACAACATGTGCCAGAGTGCAGCTTTTAAAAATGCAACTCACATACACCAGTTCCTTAACAACTACTGACTTGTGAAATGCTCATTAGTTTGGGAAATGCAGAAACCAAGCAATGACAGTATCCCTTTCAAACTAAGGCTGCACCTAAGGCTGCAGACAGACAACAGGACAACGAAAAGATGTCAACAAGACAACAAATTTATATAAAGTTATTTGTGGTGTTTTTATAACTGAACACAGGAGCACCACTTCTGTCATATCAGTCCATGTTTCACAAAGAAAATGGAACTGTGACTAGTTGCAGACTTAAGATTTATTATCTGTCTGTATCATACAAGCAAAAAGCAAGAGACACAAACAAATAACAACATCCATGCAAATCCAAATCAAAGACAAAAGAGCAGATTAAGCAAATCCTTTTTCTACATATTCTTTGAACGAATAGCATAAAATAATATATAGTCATTATAATCTAGCCAATAAAAAAAAAGACCACGTGACTTTAACATTAACAAAAAGACTTCTATAAACCTCAAACAATTCACGATAGTTCATTATCTAAGATTAAAACTTTCTATCTTTGCAAAACATATATCTAAAACTTCTCACAAATTATCAATAAGTTCTTATTCTTTCTTGTTCCTTATAATAAATATAAATATATTCACTTAGTTTTAACTTCGTAGTTTCCCATAAAAACATTTTAAAATCTCCTAACCTTTCTTAGCTTTATGTCTACTTTATAAGACTTTTTTGCACTTTCTAAAGTCTTTTGCCTTTTTATATTCCTACAGAAACTCCGAAGAGCAAACACAAACAGCAGAGATACCAGGAAGAAAAGAGGGTATTTCACCACATCCCACCAGCACATGCACAGTGTCATGGCTTAAGCCCAGCCTGCAAGAGCTGAGCCCCACTCACCCCCTGTGTTTATTCCTGCTCCACAGGAGCGTGTCCAGAATGCTTCTGCAACTCACCCACCTGTGCTGCAGCTGTGAACAGAACATGTTTTCTGCAGAAATGGTCAAAATATCACTTCACCTCACAAAACCGTCACTTTTACCTTTTGTAGAGGAGAACTGAAGGCTGTTTATTGCACTTCTTATGTCACCTGAACAACCTCTGCAAAGCAACTCCAGAGAAGTTCTGTCAAGGGTGCAATTCTCTCTGTTCTACAAGGAAAAACAGCATTGAAAGCTATAGAAGAGCAGGAAAATGAGTATTTAAACATCTGGGAACCCACCCCTGACACACAGCAAGAACAGACCCACCACAGGCTCAAACCACATAATACTGTGAACTTTAAAAAACCTTAATTTGTTTAAGCACACTGTCACAATTTATATAACAATATTAAAGAGAAAAATGCACATAACTCTTTGCAAAGTGTCACTCAATATGATATTGCTGGTAATCAAAACAGTTCAGGAACAATACCATATTTAGGTTCATGACCTCTTCTGGCCTCAGTGGATGCATGAAAAATTATATCTCTTCCTATTATTTGTTTCATTTATATAGTTACTGTAATAACCAGAGTAATTTTCAGAAGCAATTTTGCAGACTTGGACCACAGGTCAAGTGAAACTAATCTTAAAAACAAAGTATCTTTCTATCTTGTTCCTTTCTTCTGTTGCTCTGGGGAGATGTGGGGCTCAGCTACCAAAGATCAAACACAGTAACAAAAATAACACATTTTTAAATGGTCCTAGCCCTGCACAGAAGTTATGAGTTTGACAACTTACCATAGAGGCTTCTGCTGCAGCTATTCGATTGAGAACTTTCATCATATTTGTTGGTGCAACAGGCTTGAAACTGTTGAATTCCATTAAAAAAAAATAAATTAGTTTCTAACCTCTCAGTTATTTGTACCATGTTTTAGTGAGGTAGAAGATCTCACCTAATATTGCATATACACAACTCCTCTACAACGTCAGCGGGGAACAGTGACCTCTGGTTGCTGTCTCCACTGAAGTTATCTGAGATTATGAAGACCAGGGGGCACCTGCTCCTGCGAACAAAACTCCTGCACAGCAGAACAACAACAAAATGAGATGAATATCAAACTGCAGCCTTGCAGGTCGCTCATAATTAACAACCCCTTTGCCACTGACCTGAGGATTTCATGCAGGCTGCCAGGATCTCGGTAGAATTGGTTAGGAATGTCCTGTCCAAAACAAAGAGCTGCTGTCACGACATTCACAGGTAAATACTCTCCTCCACAGACTGATGTCATGGCACACATTGCCACACATTTCACACTCCTGGTTTGCTTGCTGTCAACTACATTTAAACACAGCTGACACTGGACAGAGGAGCAGCAGGGGGAAACAAACCCAAAGCACAGTGTGTCTCATTAAGGAAAATGATCATCTACAAAGAAATATTTTCTCACTGTCTCAGTTCCCTAAGACACAGCCTTGGGTGATCACACTGCCTGTGAACAGGAGTTTCACCCAGAGGACAACACTCCAGGAAGCAGCTCCCTTGGGGAAAACACATGTGAGGTGTAACAGGACCTGCACAAGAAGGTGACTTAGTAAAGACAAGTCTTATGAGACTCTGCTTCCTAAATTCTACAGTACACATTACCCTGCCAGAATTTCTGTCTGTTTTGGTCTTGAAAGTTTATAGACAATCTGACTAGCAATTTCTAAAATTTCTCTTGGGAAAATAATTGAAAAGTTCAGAAAGAAATTGCTATTGAAACACACTTCTACACAAGCACAAATAAAGCCTTGTACCTGCCCAGAAACCCTGAGTTCACACCTGTGCCCTAATCAACACCACCTGTGTAAAACCAGGGAGAAAGTGCTAAATTCCAACTCCTCCTGCTTGGGTTCATTCTCAAGTGTCCCCTACACTCTCCTGCATCATAAAAGAACAGGAACAGTGGTGTGTTTTCCACTCTTCCTGTTTATACACATACATATTTCTGGAAATTAAATAATCCAGAAGCGTGGGAATGACTTCTCAATATTGATCTGCTTTTTGATACTCTGTTATGCTTCTCTGTGCTCACACCAGACTCCCATTTCTGCCTCACTACTTGCTTCTGTGGCACAACTAACTACTTGTGGCTCTAGACTGCTGCAGAGACACAAACAGTAACGAAGATCTCATCTGCAGAAAGCAGGCTACCTCTGGGAAACACCACTCCAGTATCTGAAGCCACTCAGCATGCCAACACTACAACAAAAGGCATTGTTTTAAACACAACATTGCACAAGTTTTCACTTACTTCAATAAGAATAAGCTTTTTATCATTTTCTGAGGACTCCCCAAGCATCTGAAGTTTGTTATACTTATTTGCTCTTAATAGAAAATCTTGAAAGAGAGCTGCTTGGGCCTGACTCGGAAACGTATGAAAATTTGAGTCTGAAAAAGAAAACTAATTAAAAATATGTATTCTATATTATACCAAGTAAAATATAAATACCACACCAACTAATACCCACCCGTGTTATTTTCTGACAGCAGCACTGAACAAGCCCTTTGGCAAACGTGACAAACACAGGAGAATTTTTAAAGGGGTGTAATTCAACTGAGGACCTAAAGACACTTACCTGTTTCATTTATTTGGTTCAGATTATATCCAGGATATTACAGAGCTCTCTATACTGATTTGAATTGTCAATTATTTTGGACTAAACACTAAAAAAACCTAAATCCCCTTCCAGATAAAAGCCACAGAATGATTCTCATTAAACACTACGGAATGGACTTACATGGATGTGGATCTGATTTCATACACAACAGACAGAAACAAAGCAAAAACACAAGATAGAAAACCCACAAAATTAACTGGAAGGGGAAAGAAAAAAAGAAAAAACCCCAACATACTTACCATGGCCAAACATGTTCCTCAAGTCTTCCTTTGTGAAGTCTAAAGAGAGTGGATTGGTCCATTCTTGCACCTGAAGGCCAAGATCTCTGGCTAGAATTTGCAGAGTTGCAGTTTTTCCACAGCCAGGAGGGCCAGTCAGCAGCAAGACAGAGCCACCCTGACACAGAGATACAAAACACAATCACAGATGTGATAAACAAAGACAGCTGGCTAGGGATGAGTATGGGTTGAACTTCTCCTGTAGTTTCTCTGGTAAGGATCCTCTCTCCCAGTGAAAGCCCAGTCACACAATCTGTTAATTCACCTGCTGAGTACTCAGAGAGAGAGAACCAGGACTCTGAGAACCTTGCTCAGTTCCTAATGCCTCTGCTAAATAAACTGCATGTGACTGCCAACACAACAGACACTCACCTGAGGAATTAGCTCTGGAAAACACTAGGCAAGGCTGTCAATTTGTGTCTAAGAATGCCTCTGACCAATTGAGATTAAAAACATCCTCACCAGCCTCACACCAGCTCAGTGCAACTGCAAATTTGTCACGAGACTTAAAAATTAAGCTGGCAGAAATAAAATGCAGATTCAAGCACATACTGAAGAGCTGTGATTCTGGATGCCAGAAAACAATATTTCTGAGCAAAATCAGAATCCACCTCTTAGGAGCATAAGTCCAAAATAAATGTAAAAGCTCTAACCTATGGTCTTAGAGTATTTCTTACAATGCACAAGATACACAGTCACTGTGTCCCTCAGTTGAGGTTTCTCTCTGACCTTGAAATTGCATCCAGCTCATTTGTATGGTTTGATGCTTCCAGTTACAGATTTTAGCAAGTTTACCTGCTTTGGCTGCCTCTGAAATATGTGTGTTTTTAACCAGGTTTCAACTTCCTCAATTTTCTTCTTTTGCACAGCAAGGTCACTCTGAAACAAGGTTAAAATATGTGAAGGTTATATATATATATATGTGTATATATATATGAAACTCTTGGTTTCTAATGATGAAATTGAATAGAACAAATGCTGGACCACCACAGACACCAATGCTGGACACCAACAGACATGCTGGTGTGTGTTACAGTTACATGTGTGCTCTGCAGAAGCAATGCTACAGTTAAGGATGATCATCCTGTCTCCTTAATCAGTTTTCCATTTTTGTAGTCAGAAAATAATGAGCTATTTATTATTCTTTAAGTGGTACCACTACAATCTTGTGTCAGGATACTTCATGGCTCTTGCTGGAGCTAGTCCTTTTTATGTTTTTGCTCTAATACTGCAGATGTTTTTGTAACTTCTACAAATCCCACACAGCTGGGTTTCCCCAGTGCTTGGAATATCAGACGTGTCTGGAATTCAGTAACAGGTTTGAGAGTTTACTAGTGGACTGACAGGACACAACACCTCCTGAGCAGCTTTCCCTGCTCAGGAAGCCTGGGGGAGCGTGTGTCTGCTGTGTCAAGGTGGGGGACCTGGCCAAGGAAGGTGCTGTGTCACAGCAGCCCCCGAGCACGGGCACAGCTGCTGGCTGGGACAGCTGGGCTGCCTCGGGCACCGGGAGCCCCTGCACGCCTGGCTGGGACAGCTGTGGGACAGGAGGAGGCTCTGGGAGAGCTCAGAGAGCTCCCTGGGGTGTGGCAGGCAGCCATCCACCAGCACTGAGAGCGAACCAGCGACCCAGAAGCCCTGTGCTTTGGCAGAGGGGGTGGGTTAGAGGCGAGGGCAGGGGCCAGGGCGCGGCGCTGGCCCTGCAGCAGCTCTCACACCTGGCTTTCAGGCCTGTATCTCTCCACCCACGGCAGCTCCTCCTGGGCCTGGCTGCGGCCGGGCGCGGCGCACGGCAGATCCGCGGCACCCGGCTTGCTTCTCTTCCTGGCACGAGCTGGGGCTCTGCTCCTCTCTGCCACGGGGCTCGGGGCTCTCTGCTTCTGCCCACGGGCTCTGCCCCTCAGCGGCCTCACGGCGCAGAGGCCGAGGCCTGTGCTCCCAAAGAAGTCATCGAAGGGATGTGCCGGCCACTCTGCCACCTGCGGGAACACAAACCTCTGGGTAGGAACACTGCACCCTCCTCCCCTCAGCTGGGCACAGCCAGCCCTGGAAAATGGGACATTTTTGTCCCTGGCAGTGCCCCAGGCCAGGCTGGACACTGGGGCTGGCAGCAGTCTGGAGCAGTGGGGGGTGTCCCTGCCGTGGAAAGAGAGAGGAAGAAAATTATCTGTAATGATACGTTTCTCTCAAGAGTTTCTGACAGTGGAGCACTGTTACAGCTGGCACCAGAGAAACAGGAGCAATTATTTCTGCAGTGAGGACTTTATGTGTAGTGCCCACTCTGTCCTCCGCTGCTCAGGCTCCATTCAGGCTCAGCAGCTTGTTTGTAAATCATCCAGTTTTCCTCTTTCCCAAAGGGACTGATGACACAGTGTTTGGTCCTTCCAGCTACAACTGGTCCGGGGTTCTGTGATTCTTCTGTGTGAAAAAGAAAGCTGCATCATTGTGCCAGGAGTGTTCTGCAGCAAACTGGCAAATGAGAACTAGTTGAGAACTCCACGAACACACACCCAACCTAAAGAATTAAAAATTAATGGAAATGCAGCATCAACTTACTCAGACCTCTTTTATATGACGGTAATGTTCACACTGTCTCTGTAGTCTTCAGTATCTGGCACTTTCCCCCAGCTTTTTAAAAATATTTACAATGCAACCATTTGTGCACAGAAGTTAGAAACATTTGGCAGAGGACAGCTACTGAGGCAGCACAGTAAAGTCAAGGAGTGTTTGCTGCTTGGGGCAGCTGGGGCTGAACCAGAGCCTGTGCCAGGACAAGGAGCAGTGCTGAGCAGCACCAGGATTTGATTCTGGATTAGAGGAACACCCCGCTGGGCCAGGGAGGCAGGCTCACCCCCAGCAGCACCACAGGGGCCCGTGGCAGCCCTTGGTGTGGGTTGCAGGCTGGTGCCCATGCCCATGGTGAACGTGTGACAGCACAGACACTGCCTCCCCAAAAGGGCTGTGAAACCCTGGGCCAGCACAGCAGGGTGCTGGCAGGCAGGACAGAGCTGGCTGCAGCCCGAGGCTCTGCTGCAAGGGGCTCAGACAACTCCAGCAAGGCCCTGCTTGCAAAGCCCCAGCGGGAAATGCAGGAGGGGTCATGCTGCTTTTGGGGTGAATAATGCTGAAAGCAGCCCGACTCCTCCATCCCACAAAGTTCCACATCCTCTGAGGGAGCTGAAGCTGTGGCAGAGCTGGAACAATCCCCAGAGAAAGGAACAGCCAAGTGACACCACTGAGAGCTCCTGCAGAGCTGGCCCAGCCTGGCAGGGCAGCACTTCACACTGGAAAAGCCCCATCCCAAATTTTAACAGCAGCACCTCCTGACGTTTCCCTTCCCGTGGTGTGGGGATGATGTGATCCCAGGGTCACTGCTCCAGCTGATTCACGTGCACACAGCCTGGGTGAGGGCCACTCTCTGCTCTGTCACTGCTCCTGAACTGCCACACAGCCACCCCAGTGCTCACAGCCACCAGCATCAAGGCTGGAAAACGCCTTCAAGAAGCAAAGGCCAGCCCTCCCTTCACATTCCCACTGCTGACACAAGCACATTGACACTTCAGCTCTGGCTCCACGGTGCACCTGAGCAGTGCTTACTGCTGCACTGGGCAGTGAACAGTCCTGGTTCTGATCTCTTTGTCATTATTAAATGTGTCTGGCAGCCTCAGTGCTGCAGGACGAGGCTGTGAGGTTCAGGGACAGCTGCACAGCTCTGGGGCTGGCACTGCACCCAGAGCCCTCCCTGAGGGGTTTGGGGCAGTTTATGGGAGGTTTTGGGGTTTCTCCTCCTCACAACATAACCACCCCGGGCTGTGATGGGGCCCAGGTTCCAGACCCCGAATCCCCCCCGGGCTGGGACCCTGCACCCCAAATCCCCCAGGGCAGGACCCCAGCCCCCAGGGAGCATTGCCAGAGGTGCTTCCTGCCATCCCAGGGGAGCAGCAGCCTCTGCAGGCTCCTCTGTCCCCAGTGAGGGAAGAAAAGCACGCTTCACTCAGAGCACACGGCTGCTTCTGGGATTGTTTCAGGGGTGAGAGGCCGGCTGCACGCTGCCCTCGTGCTCCCCACGGCATAGACTGCACCAGAGGATCTGAGAGTCCCCCTGCGACTGGGACAGTGCCCACATCGAGACCCTTTCCCGGAGATCTCTCTCTCAGACGTGTCCTTACACGTCTTGCCCGCTGTCTGCAGCCCTGCTCACTGGGACTAATATCACCCGGCGCTGGTTTTAGTCCCCTCTCTGACGGGTTAGAAAGCGGCGGGTGTGGGGCGGTGTTCGGGAGGTTTTGGGGGTCTCTCCTGCACCTTGTGGCTCAGCGGGAGCTTCTGTGACAAGCGGTGTCCGTGCGCCGGCCCCGTCACTGCCGGGCTCCCCGCAGCACCCCCGTCAAACAGCGCCGTCCCTCCCGCACGCAGCCACACCAAACCCAATCTCGCTCAGCCAAAATCAGAACAGCCCCCACGGAAACAGGACAAACACAGAGCCCCCGCAGGAACGAGCGGGCCCCGAGAGCCCCTGTCCCGCACCCACCTCCGCCGGCCTTCCCGGGCCGCTGCCAGACATCCTCGGCCGGGGGAGCCCGGCGCCTGCGGCCCGCTGCCCCCGCCGGGCCCCGCCGCAGACCCGAGGCCAGGGGACTTGGTGCCCCGGGCGGAGGCAGGGCCCCGGTGCGACTCCTCCCGGTGTGTCCCGGTGCTCCGGGCGGAGGCAGAGCCCCGGCGCGACTCCTCCCGGTGTGTCCCGGTGCTCCGGGCGGAGGCAGGGCCCCGGCGCGACTCCTCCCGGTGTGTCCCGGTGTCCCGGGCAGCTCCCGGCGCTCCCGGCCCGGCCTCGTCCCCTCACACGGCGCCGAGGGGTCCTTCCTCTCCACCGTCCCTTAGCTGCCCCCGCCGCGCAGGGCAGCGCCGTGACGCCATCGGCGCGCGCGGCGGCGGCGGAGGCCCCCGCGCACGTGTCTCCAAGGCGACGGGCGGCGGCCATGAGGCGGCCGAACGTGCTGATCACCGGTGGGCACCGGGGACACCGGGGCGGGCGTGGGGTGCAGGCCTGCGCTCCCTGGGGGCCCGGGGACCCGGCCCTGGCCCAGCCCGGCGGGAGTTGGGGTCTGGGGCCCGGGGCGGGTGCGTTGTGAGGCAGCGGCCTGGCGGGTGCGGGGTGCGGGGTCGCAGCCCGGGGCGGTTTTGCAGCTCCCCGCCTTCGTGAGGACGCGCGGCTCCTCCGTGTTACCGAGGGTTTTCGGAGGAGTGCAGATTCCCCCGGTCCCGCACGCCGTGAGTGACATTCCTCTCACAGTCCGGGTTCTCTCCCGGTTGTCCCGTTTCACCGCCCTCGCTTGTTTCTCTTTGTCCTGCAGCTTTTTGCCCCTTTTCATCCCATGAACTCTCCAGCGTGGGCTGTCAGAAGGTTCCAGTCACCTGGCAGGGGCTCTTTGGGGGCACCTGAAGCTCTCCCCTTACCTCTGGCTGTGGTTTGTCCTGCAGGCACGCCGGGAGTTGGGAAAACCACGCTGGGGAAGGAGCTGGCGTCCAGAGCTGGGCTGAGCTACGTCAACGTGGGGGACCTGGCCAAGGAAGGTGCCGTGTCACAGCAGCCCCCGAGCACGGGCACAGCTGCTGGCTGGGACAGCTGGGCTGGCTGGGGGGCAGGGGGAGGCTCTGTGGGATTTGGGGTCCCTTCCAGCCCAAACCCACCTGTGTGTCTGTGCATTACATGAATTTATCTGTGTCTGTAGCAGCATACCTTGTGCTAAGTAATAAATAACAAACCCATCCTTGCATGGATTGGTACACAAAGTGTGCCCTACCCTGAGGTCTGCATTTTGCCTGCAGTCTCCTGAGACAAGAACAGAAATGTTAGTTATTGTGGTAAATTAATTGTAAATTAATTGTGGTAACTAGTGTGGTAGCCAGCAAACACTGGGAATTCTCTGTGCTGCAGGAGAGCTCTACGAAGGCTTTGATGAGGAGTACAACTGCCCCATCTTGGATGAGGACAGGGTGAGTGCACAGCCAGGGCCAGCCCCTCTCTCTGGCTCTGCCAGGTGAGCCCCTCTCTCTGTGCAGTGCAGGTGAGCCCCTCTCTCTGTGCAGTGCAGGTGAGCCCCTCTCTCTCTGTGTGCAGTGCAGGTGAGCCCCTCTCTCTCTGTCTCTCTGTCTGTCTCTGCAGTTCCAGGTGAGGCTGATCTCTCTGTGTGCCGTTCCAGGTGAGGCTGATGTGTCTGTCTGTCTGTCTGTGCAGGTGGTGGACGAGCTGGAGGCCAGGATGAGCCAGGGAGGGGTGATTGTGGATTACCACGGCTGCGACTTCTTCCCCGAGCGCTGGTTCCACATCGTGTTCGTGCTGCGCACAGACAACTCCTGTCTGTATGACAGGCTGGAGAGCAGGTGTGGCACCTGGCTGGCACCTGGCTGGCACCAGGCCAGGGCTGCCGTGGGGCTGCACTGACTCCAGGAGCACCCCCTGAGCTGGCTCTGAGCCTCACTCTGCTGTGGCACTTCCTGGGCTCCTCGGGCAGGGGAGTGGTTGAATCTCAAGCAGCAAAAACAGGAGAAGCAATCAGATAATTATTGTTTTCATTTTTCTGTGAGGCTTCTCAGCTTCCCAGGAGAGGAAATCCTGGCGAAGGGGTTTTCCAGAAAATATCACAGTGACAACTGCCTCTTGCTGCTCTTTCTCCAGGGGCTACACGGGCAAGAAGCTGCAGGACAACATTCAGTGCGAAATTTTTCAGACTCTGTATGAGGAAGCTGTGTTGTCCTATAAAAAGGAAATTGTACACCAGTTACCCAGCAACACTCCAGAGGACCTAGAGAGAAATTTGGATCAGATTATGCAATGGATTGAGCAATGGATGAAGGACAACAACTGACTTTTGGTGAAACAGTAACTGCTGGATCTCTTCTTGGGAGGGAGGGTTTAGTAAATGATATTTATATTTCTTGTATTGTAAATGAACATGAATTTTGTTGTAACTGGCTGGGAAGTAGAAGAAGGTTGAGAGTAGCCAGGTTGTGAGGATTTGTAACAGCTCTGAGAGGCAACAGAACTGCTACAATGACAGAAAGGATGAAAATGAGGCGGCTGTCCTGAGAAGCAGGAGCTGTGTTCAGTGTCTGAGAATTCTTTAGACTTTACAATTGAAACCAAACTGTGAATTCCCTGTGGGAAGACTGTAAAATCCTGATAACAGTGGCAGTTGAGGCACTTTTGATTTCCAGAGTGTGGAACAGTGTCCTGGAAAGGAGTTGGTTTGATGCTGAGCTGTGGGACTAGCACCTGCTGGGCTCCACTGCGGTCGTGCGAGGACAATGCAGAGTGAGAGGGGTTGGGGCAGGGTAAGGGGGATCCTTTGCTTTGGAGGGGAAAGAAGTGATGTGAGAGTTATTTTAAAACGCTTGCACAGAGCTGTGATTCCTTCATGTGTAAGGAAACATCGTTATGCAAGCACTGGTCTGGAGTGTTGAACAATAAACTTCATTTTCCCTTTTTTCTCTGTCTTCCCCGTCCCCTGTCCCAGTCATGGGAAGATTGCCCAGGAAATGCATGCCTTGTGAGGACAGAGCCGCAGGGATCCGAGGGGTCTCAGGTGCAGCAGGATCTGTTCTGAGTGCTGTTAGAGCCTGGGCCCCAGGGGGCAGGGCTGCACAAGGAAGAGGAAACCTTTCCTCAGAGAAAAGCTGCTTGGAAAGAAGGCCTTGGGAAAGATTCCGTCGGAAGTGCTTGCTTATAAACCCCTTGTATACACGAGTTTGGGTAGTAAAACAAATTTCTTGAAAAATTCTGTTGTGAAGAGTGTTGTTGTTACATGTTTACAGCTTTATTTTTTATTCAAAATTTGACATTGGGTCTTTTGAGTTTTTTTTTGGTGACACTTGTGGAGCGATACTGCAACAGAATAATATCATCGTGTGATGATATTATAAGCCAAAAAGGTGAAAAACAGTGTGTTTCGTTGGAGAATTGGGCCCAGGCACTGCGGCAGCGGGGGCAGAGGTTGGCGGAGAGCAGGAAGCAGGTTTGGGATTGTGCGCGGTGTCCGGCCAGCCCCGCTCCGTGGGAGCGCCGCAGCGACCCGCCCTGCTCCCCGCAGCGCGTCCCGGGCACGGGGCTGCGCCGCGCTCCCGCGGAACGTGCTCTGATAGAACGCAGAAATGAGCAAAGCCCTCCTGCGGCAGCCTGCGGGCCGCTCCCGGAGCCGCCCCGGGGCGGGACCGCTCCGCCGGCTGCGCAGGTGGGTCGGGGGCTCGGGCGGGCCGGGGTCCCCGGGGCGGGGGTGACCCCAGGGGGCTGTCCCCAGGGGGGTGACCCCAGGGAGGTGACCCCAGGGGGGTGTCCCAAGGGGGGTGACCCCAGGGGGCTGTCCCCAGGGGGGTGACCCCAGGGAGGTGACCCCAGGGGGGTGTCCCAAGGGGGGTGACCCCAGGGGGCTGTCCCCAGGGGGGTGACCCCAGGGGGGTGACCCCAGGGAGATGTCTCCAGAGGGGTGTCCCCAGGGAGGTGTCCCCAGGGGGCTGTCCCCAGGGGGCTGTCCCCAGGGTGGTGACCCCAGGGAGATGTCCCCAGGGGGGTGTCCCCAGGGGGGTGTCCCCAGGGGGCTGTCCCCAGGGGGCTGTCCCCAGGGAGATGTCCCCAGGGTGGTGTCCCCAGGGGGGTGTCCCCAGGCGCTGTCCCCAGGGGTCTGTCCCCGGGCCGGGGTCCCACCGCGGCGGTTCGGCAGCCCCGGCTCCCGCAGCCTCGCCTTTCCCTCTCGGGGCTTGTCCTGCTGCTGCAAACACGGAGCTTTCCTGTTTTTCCAGATAAAATCTGGCCTTGCGGGAGGCGCTGTTCGCCGGTAGGTGAGGGGCCCTCGGTCAGGAAAGGAAAAAAAAACCGAACCAACTGAAAACCCGAAAAAAAAGCCAGGAGGAGAAGATGGAGGAAGCAGAAGAGGATGACATGACATGTGGAGACTTGGGAAACGGACTGGGGAGAAGACCGGGAGGTGTTTATGAAGGGGAAAACTTACAACATTCCTATTCAGTTAGATCTAGGAAGGGATCTGGAAAGACTTGTAATTCCCCTTTGTCAGCAAAGGTAGCAGAAGAAAGCGACGCTGCAGCTCTTCCTGCTCCAAAACGAAACAGCTTTTACGATGGATCCCTCAAAAAACCTGCCTCTAGTTCCACACGGCAGGATAGCTGCGGTAAGAGTAATTAGGAAGTTAATTATTCACCATAGGAAAAGTTTTTGTTAGTGGAAGTGAGCCGGTCAGCTGCCTCGCCAAGTGCCATCAAGTTTAATTCAAACCACTTGCCAAATTCCCTGAAGGGCTCTGTGCCCGCTGGGAGCCTCCAGCTTCCTCCCAGAACGTGAGCAGCAGAGCTGCTTCTCAGTGGTGAAGGCAGTGACCGTTCTTAGTGTCAAATGTCCGGTTTGAAAGAGTGTAATTCTGCGTTTGAAAGCAGCATTTGTCAGGGAGCATCCTGTGGTGGGTGAACCTGCGTGGGTTTGGCCGTGTCTGTGAAACTGAGTGGCACTGCTTGGGTTCCTGCTTTAAGTCAGTTAGCATCTTCATAAAGACAGTTCCTAAAGGCTAGAGCTAAATATTCAAAATCTGATCTGCTCTTTAGTTGAAATTGGTGAATTGGCTTACGTTAGGGGTTAGGGGTTAGGAAGTAGCTTTTAGAACGTGCATTGGCATTCATCTTCATTTTTTGTGAAGGTGATGCTGCTGTAAAAACAGTCAAATCTAGGACAGTTTATTACAGCCCAGCTGCTTTCCTGTCAATTTTTAATATTTTGACTGAGGTATTGCTGTGTAACTCACTTATTTTTGTCCTTTAAACAATTCCCTTTTATGCTTTCCACAGTAAGCTGAGCTATCTCTGGCTCCTGAAAATTGCCCTTACTTCTAAATAGTGCTAGCTGTTGCTTAGAGTGTGGATGTTGAAAAGTTACAATCAGAAAATAATCTAAACCATTTTTTTGAAATCCAAGATGGCAATTTTGTTGGCTTTATTTCAAAGTAAGTTATAAAATATCTGCATTTATTTTATGTCTCTTTACAACAGACATTTTTCCCCCATTTAACTTCTTCAGTTGTGAAGCAACGTGCTTGAAGCTTGTATTAATGTCTTTCTTAAATCTGTTTATTAGCTCCACAAGAAAAAAAAAACCCACAGCACAAAGATGAAAATTCACCTCTGTATGTTACCTGTTTTCAGGGTAAAATCCTCACTTTTTTTTTTTCTTTCTTTAAATGTCACACTATCTTATAATTTATTATCCTCTCTTGATCCTACAGAATCTAATACTGAAGTGTCAAATGAAGAACTGAAGCAACAACTTCAGGAAGCTCTGGAGGTTGGTAACAGTGCCCAGGGTGCTGCTCTCCAAATCTGCATTTCCCTTCCTTGTAGCAAGAGGATCTTGGCATGCTGGGAGACTTGGGTGCACCCAGGTTCTTGGGATTACAGCAGGAGTTGGAAGCTTCATTAAATTTTATGTCAGAAAATTGTAGTGTGAGGTGTACTTTATACTCTGGGGGTTTTCTTTACAAAATATTTTTAAAGATGGAGAGAATATTGAAGGTACTGTTGTACTTTTCTAGCAGATGTTTATGTTTTATTAAGCTTTGGGGCTTGAAAATGTGTAGTGTAAGCAATCTTTGGATTTTTAGTCTGCATGTTAGTTGAAAGGTAGTTAACAGCACATTTTGATTTCACTGTGGTTAAATGTATTGAGGTGTTGGCCAGCTGACTGCAGCTGTAAAAATACACCTTCCACCTGCACTGTGTTCTCTAACCTCAGGGGAGCCCATGAAAAGACATCATGCAGGTAAAACAGAGGTTTGTTTTTTGAGGAGGGCTGATTTACATGGGTTTTACAGCCGAATCTTAACAGGAGTACCTTGGCTTTTACTCAGTGCATCTACTTTGTTTTACTTCAGGAGCTTGAAATTCTGAAAGTTGAGCTTGAGGCATCTCAAAGACAGCTGGAGGGGAAAGATGAAGCCCTAAGAATCCTGCAGAGCATGGTAGGAGCTGTGCAGAAATCTCTTGGTGGTAACAAGGAAAACAGAGGAAATCATCTGCTATTCCTCATCGAAACCTCAACAACCTTAAGGCCTTCCCAGGGCTGCAATTTGCATCATTGAGTCTGCAGGTGTCTACAGACTTGCCTCTGCAATTTATTGGAACTAGGGTGTTATTGAAGAAGACTTTAGTGTTGTAGCAATTCTTATAATTTTAGCTTTGACAATCCCTGAGGATTTAGCTACTAAAGATAAAATTAAGGCCTTTTTCCAGTCCCTTATATTGAAGGTTTAGGCAGTGCTTGGAATCCTGCTGCAGGGCATGAGCATTTCGAGTTGGCTGCTCCATCTGCTGCCCTAGAGGACAGTGTGCCTTAAATGTCAGGTCATTCTTTTGTTCCCCATTTGTAGTATTTTTATTCTCTTTCATAACAAAATCAGCTGGAATCAGTTCCTGGAATTTAGCCCACTTACAAAGCCCATTTCTGGTTGTGTGGTTTCTGCCATCACACATTTGCAGCCTGGATCAGAGCTGAGGTGTTGTAACCCAGTTGTGTAAGGTGTGATTTCCTGAAGGAGGCACGATCTCAGGGTGAGTGATGCTGCACTGTCAGCCCAGAGGTTCTGGGACTGAAACCCAAAAAGTTTGTTGTGCAAGTTAGTGTTGAGATCAGAGCCCTCTGGGGCTCACGAGGAGGCTGCTGGTGTTTGTAACTCTGCTGTCTGACTGTGAATGTGAAGCTGAAAATTAACTCGGTGCAATCACAGCATCTGACAGAGTTGCATTTTGGGTTTCGCTTTGGTTGTTTGTTAATTTTGCAGGCAGTATTTGATAAAGCCACGAGCCATACAAAAGCAATGCTTCAGAAAACTGAGGAAGAAAAGAGGACTCTAGAGAAGGTAAGCGTGGGTGTTTCCTTCACACAGAGAAGCCCATGGCTATCCAAAAGGGGTTATCAAACTGTTTATTTACATCAATGCATACCTGACATTAATTCCAGGGGTTTTGTAAAAGGAACTCCTGTTCCTTTTTAGTAGAAAGGGAAGTACTAATTTATCTCTTTTGATCTAGGCCTTTTCATGCTATAACAATAACCGTGTAAAACTGCCAGAGGTCCTGCTGTGCTTTGAGCTGGAGTTGGGTGTGGGTTTCAGTTGCCCAGAGTTGAGCTTTCCAGCTCCTCAGGGATTCAGCTGAGGCTTGCCAGGGACCCTGAGGAGTGGGTGCCCAGTTTCAGCAGGGCAGGAGGAGGAGGGTGGTGTAGAGCTCCCTTGTTAAACTGAGTTCTTTGCTCTGTTCCACGCCATGGGAGTGGGACAGCGTGGGTTTGTCTTTGCTGGAGGCCCCTGGAAGCAACAGAGGCTGGAGTCCCTAGGCCAGTGGTGCAGAAACTGTGGTGTCTGGCACCAAATTTGTTATTAAGAGTGTCACAGATTGTCACGGAGATCTCTGCCAAACCCAGCACCCCGGCATCCTTCTGAGGGGAACCCTGTGATGAGCTGCTGCAAGTTTGTTTTGTTTCCACAGGAAATAAATATTTTGCAGTGGGAAATTGAATTTGATCAGGATAGATTTAAAAACCTAGAGGACACCTGGACAGAAAAATATGACAGGTATTTGGCTTACACTGTGTGTCACTGGGGTCTTTGTTTGATTTAAAAAATTTGACTGAGTGCTCTATGTCATCTGTCCTGTGTTCCAAACTTCCTCAGGTTCTTTGAGGGTTTTGTATTTTCCCAATTCCCTTCCAAATTCTGGGCAATTTTGATTTTTCACACTAATCACATTTGTATTTTTCAATTAAAACTTCTAGATGTATTGTCCTGATTTCTTTTTCCTTTTTAAGGTGTCTGTAGGCTGATTTGCTGGCTGAGTTTTTTTTCATCGTATGATGTTAGCCAGCTGGGGACTGATTATCCTTATTTACCTTACCCGTAGATGAGGCAGAGAAAATAATGGTATATGCATGCGTGTGGAAATATAATTTCCTGGTTAATAATTTCTTTGTTGTGTGGCACTGTAGGTCTGGGCATGAGTACAGGTAAAATGCAGTGCTCCAGAGAGAGGCTGATCAAGAGGTCCTTTGTTAAATAGGAGTCACTCTGGGTGGACAGCAGGTGTGGCTGGGCAAGAAGAATGTGCCAGAGGCACTAAACTAATTATACTTAACAGACCTTGAGAAGTGGGACTGCCAGACTCACTCATTTACATGTAGAAATTGTATCTCTGAAGTCTACCCATCAGAGTTGTTATTGTCATTATTTGTTATTATTATTATTGTTGCTGTTGTTTTTACAGTTCACAATATGCTTTTATTTGAATGTGTTTCAGCTTGGAATCAAACACTAAGCCACACGTTTGCAAACGATTGCAGAGACACATTTGTCAGGGGATGCCTCTTGAAAGGCTCTCTGGCTTTCCTGGCTGAGTGGGTTGGAAATGTGGCTGTGCAGTTTGGAGCCACAAAACTGCTGTTGGCTGCTGGAAGGCACAGACACAGCCTCAGAAAACTGACAGCCAGGGGCTCAGCCTGCTCTGCACAACATCTCATGTTTTTCTGATGGTTTTCTGACATCTGAGGCAGCAGGACAAGAAGAATGTGCATTTTCCTCTGTTTTTTTCCCAAGCGAAATAGTCCAGACTAGGCTGCATTTACTGACAGCTGAGATGCACCAAATAAATTGTATTGCTTTGACATTTAGGACGTCGGATTGCCACTGTTCTGTTCAAGAGGGAAATGCTTCAGGGAAAAATGCATTATCACTGTGTATTGTGTGTTCTCACGTTGCAACACCTGAAGGCACAGCTGCTCCTGAAAACAGGATTCAGACTACAGGAAGTTTACAGAGCAGAGCTGTCGCTCCTCTAATACCACTTTTGTTCCTTCAAGGAAATAGGAAATTTCTAGCAAGTGTTTCAGACATTCATAATTACCAATTTCTTTGCATTTCTATTGGAAATGTGGCACTTAAACTCATCTCTTGTTAAAGCTATGGCCACTGCCTACTTATACTTGAAGGTTTGGGGATTTTTAAAATTTATATCTAGTACTCAACTGCTTTCATTTTTTTATTTTTTATTCCATCTTTCAAGTAATCCTAATTTTAGTTCACAGAAATATTAGGTACCATGTTTTAACAGGTTACTTTTTAAAATTACTGAGTGCCCACTTAAAAACATTAAAAAAAAAAAAAAACATAATAAAGCTGTTTTCTGACTTCTGCAGGATATACTGTGAAAATGCAGCTCTTAAGGAAGCATTGAAACTGAGGACAGAAGAAGTTAAAACACTTAAAGCTGAAAATGCAAGTAAGCCAGCAGCAGCTATTCCTCTGAATACACTGTTTTTCAGGAATAAATCAGGTTTTAGCTGTGATGGAAGATTCCTGTGGGGATCAGTGTCTTGTTCCTGGCAGCTGATCTTAGTGGATATGCAGAAGCCTGGAAATTAAACTGGAAAGCAGCCAGAGCAGCCACTGGATCAGAGGACTCCAGTCCCTTTCCTTCATTTTTGCTTTCCAAAAAGCTTGGAAATAGCTGACTTAAATCATTACTTGCCCAATGTTGTGCTGTTCTAAATGAGAGCTGCCTGACTTCTGAGTGTACAAGGAGACACTCAGTCCTGAGGCAGAGCAATACAGGAAATGGTCTCTCTCTAAGTGGGCCATTACTTCTGGGAGAACACAGAAGGAGAGACAACTGAGAGATGAGTTTCTACTTCTACACTCTCATCTTGTTCCCAGACTGATGCTTGAACAGTAAAACTGCTTCATTCGGGTGTAGTTGAACTCAGAAATTAAGAAATCAGAGCGGGAGATATTTGTAATCTCTTTGGTTTATTTTGTAGTCCTGAACCAGCAGTGCTTGGAATTCCTTGCAATGCTAGATGTGAAACAACAGAAGGTTTTTCAGGAGAACATGTTGAACAAAAGTGACATCACTGATTTTACAGGTCTTGAAGTAAGTATTGCCTGTGTGCTTTTCCAAATGGCTGCTTCAGAGATATGTTTGTGTACAAAATACACAGGGGAAAATCATTGCTCATTACATATCCCTTTATTTGCACCCATTTTTAGTTAATTAGCCCAGGCCTTTGCATGCCTGTTAATCAGTTTTCTTCTTCCTGGTCCACCTTGCGAAGGAAGATCAGGCAGAAGAAGGCATCAGGCTATTTTTCACAGGCTGTGATGCCTGTTGTTGTTCTGCCTGGCAATTAAACCGTGCTAGCTGGGGCTGCAGGGTGTGGCACAGCTATCTGCCAGGTTCTGCCTGAGGCACAGCTCACCTTGTGAGTCCCTCCCCTTCACTCCCGGTTCCGGGGGTCCTGCTGCCCCTCTGTGAGCAGGTCCTGACCTCTGGCTCGGTTTGGGTTTTCAGCTGGCAGTGCTGGGAGCCTGCACCTGCAGTCCTGCCGAGGGACAGCCCTGTCCCTGTGCCAGAGTGGCAGCTCTCACTCGGAAGCAGCTCCTTCATCTCAAGGCAGAGGTGAGGAGGGCTGGCAGGGTGGGGACGAGGAGGGGGTGCTGCTGCACCGGTCCAAACAAAGCCAGAAACACCCAGACACTGCTTACACACACTCTCACAGCCACAGCGCATCTCAGAAATACTGTGAGGTTTGTTTGTGATGCTTGTAATGCCATAATTTTTGCTGGTAGGGAAAAAATTGTAATTACATCTACTCAGCTTTACTAGTTAAAAAAAAAAAAATTGCATTCTTTTTCTTTCTCCCCATATTTTTTTAATCTGAAAAAAGAGAACACACCCTCGGTGTGTGCAGTCCTGAATGTACACACTGTGCATGTGGGCTGGCACTGAACCTTTCCCTTCCTTCCTGGCAGTGCATTTCACCCCTCCCTTGCTGGCATCAGCACCCACAGCCCGCTCACTCAGCTAGGGCAGCAAGCTGATCTTGCTGGAAAATATCTATTCACCTCACACTGAAATCCATTATGTGAATTCCAGGCTCCTAATTTTTGTCTATTTAGTGAAATTGTGTGGATTTAGAGATTTTAATCTAATTTGTATTTGACTCTGCAAATGTGGTGCCATCCTTGTGGTCCTGCTGCAGAGCTTCCAGTTGAGTGACTGGTTTGGAAAATAAGTGCTGGCCTGTCCCTTATGATGATCCCTGATATGGGTTCCAGTCTCCTGCCCCTTTTCCTCCTGGCCTGGATGTGATGGGCCATTATTTCCCTCCTGGAGCTCTTGTGCATGTGCAGAGATCAATAAATGCACAGACAGGTTGTGTAGGTGGCTGGGGGTGTGAACATTTGCAGACAATGAAGAGTAAGGACTTTAGTACACGTTTCAAAATTTCTTTACATGCCAGGGAAACCCTTTGGTTCCTGCTACTTCCTTGATTACATTTACTTGCAATTCTAAATCTGCCTTTGCTTCCAAACTAGCTAACCTGCTTTAAATTTTCCCTGCACTAAAACCAGATGGAAAACCTGAAGAAGAGTAAGGACGAAGCGTATATCACGGCAGATGCCTTCAGAATGGCGTTTGAGCAGCAGCTGATGCAGAGGAAGGAGCAGGCCCTGAGGCTGGCAGAAGTGATGAACGTGAAGAAGGAGACCAGATTTGGCAGCTGGAGACGCCTGCAGGGTACTGGTAGTGGGGCAGGCTGGTGTGGGGCTGGCTGGCACATGTGCTACCAGCAATTGCTCTGTTATTTGTTTGTTTGTTTGTTTTCAAGTGAGTTCCACGGAAGAAATGCAAAAAAAAAAAAAAAAAAAAGTATGTTTGGAGCTTTTTTTTAGCTCCAAATGGGGTATTGAGCAACCTGTGTGAAACAAGATGAGCTTCAAGGTCTCTCCTAACCCAGGCCACTCCATAATTCACTGGAGTACTAAACAGGTTTTTTTCCCTGTTTTTCCTTAAACTTTTTTTTTTCCTTTTATTATGCATGTGTATCAATATTAGTGTTCTTACACTAATACAGAGTTTCAAAGCCCTGTGTAAAAGAGGAAAAATTCCAGTCTGTAAAGTAGGAATAATTCCAACAATCTTTCATTCTTTCCTTGAGGGACGGAAAACTAAGTGGAAGAAAATAATGATGTTATGGCTACAATAATTAAAAATAAAAATAAGAACAAATTAATCAATCGGCTTCCTTTTGCTGAGGAATGTAACACTCAATGCTTACACTAAAGAAATTTAACCTAAAAATGTATTATGGGACAATTCTTCTAAAAAAGCCTGCAGTTTTAATACAAGGTCATTAAAAAAAAAAAAAAAAAAAAAAAAAAAAAAAAAAAAGATAAAGAGAATTTGAGCGCTTTCATCATGGTCAGAACCACTGCAGACCTTAGGAATGGCACAATATATTTGTTTTGACCATTGGCCAGGAGCTGCCAGGCTTAGAAGTGTGGTGTGTCTCCCAGACTCCTTGGGCACTCCTGGGGTGTAGCACTACAACAGCACAACCTTGAGTAGCTGTTTCCCCTACACTGACCCCATTGCTTTCAGGCTCCATTACCGGGCACATCTGTTCCATAATTTTAATGTGTTTTACTATTTCTGGAAGTCTTACAAACTTGTAAGTGGCCTGTGTCAGAGAATCTTGGGTTTTTTTAGGCTACTTGTGGTGTGAAAACAAACTCCCATTAATTATTGTTTAACTAGGGCATCAAAAGTGTATTATTATTATTATTATTATTAATTATATTATTATTATATATTNGTTATTATTATTATTATTATTATTATTATTATTTATTCCATAATAAATGAGTGAAAAGAATTCTCAATTTGCCCACGTGTAAGGTCTGTGTAGCCTTTGTGGGACAGCAGGAGCATTGCAAACCTACCATGTCCCATGCAGTGAGGAAAACTGCAGCTTGTACTGCCCTTTTTCATGGGATCATTAAATTAAATTATTCTTAATTATTAAATTATTTTTAATGGGATCCAGGTTTAGAAGCACCTGCTTCCTCCCAAAGTCGTTTTTCCCTTGCTGGGCAGTCCTGCAGCTGACGCACTTGTGTTTCCCGCAGAGCGTCTCAAGTCGGAGGGGAACAAGAGCAGCGTGGGGAGGAAGCTGTCCAGCCTGCTCTCCTCAGAGGGGGACTGCCGGAGGGTGGAGGAGCTGGACAATGCCCACGAGATCCTGAGGATGTTGATCGATCTGGTCAGTACCTGGTTCAGCTCCCCGGAGCGCGCGTGTTAGCTGGGTCGGCACCCCGAGCTGACCACGGCCTGCTCTCCTGTGGATGGGCGGAATGTGGGAAAATGGAGACAGTGCTGAAGGTAATCTCACCCCTAAGGAGTTACAGCTGTGCTAATTATCCAGAATTGGGAACAGGCCTGCCCTTAACAGGCCACAGCCAGATCCAGTCAGGACAGGCATTGTAAAAGAGCAGGTTGGCTGGTCGGGGAGGAACATGGAGTTTGTTGGCTGTGCTGAGAAGGAGTCAGTGCTGCGAGGGGCTGCCCACGAGAAATCGCCAGGAGGGTACGAAACCTTTGCATTGAGATGGCAACGCTCTCCTTTCTCCCCGCAGGTGAACGACAAGGAGGAGGCCCTGGCGCACCAGCGCAAGGTCAGCTACATGCTGGCCCGGGCGGCGGAGGCTGCCCCGCGGCAGGACGGGGGGCACGCGGCGGGAAGGTGTCGGCTCGGAGCCCCGTGCCTCCCGGCCGCCCCTCACGGCGCCGGCCG